TGTCTGTCAGTATTTAACATATTCAAAATTGAAGCCGAGAAGATTTTAAAATATGTATTACTTAAGTAAAATAATAAATTCATTGCATATTTGCATAAACAGACTTATTTTAGTGGAAAAATAACTATTTCCCCCCAAAATATAGTGGTATCGGTTTATTTTTTTAACTTTTTAATATGTTATATTGGAGTATAGTTGATTAACATTGTTGTGTCAGTTTCAGGTGTACGCTTTATGTTTTTGAAAATCTATTCCGGGAATTCCCTGGCGGTCCAGTGGTTAGGACTCCGTGCTTCCACTGCAGAGGGCCTGGCTTCGGTCCCTGTTAGGGAACTAAGACCCCGCAAGCCTCGCAGCGCCAGGGTGGGGGAGTGGGGAGAAAGAAGAAAATCTATTCAATGTTTGGCCTAATAGAAGAAAGTTAGGTTCTCATATCTGCTTCTGCATTCAATCTATTGTGTTCTCGCCCATTGTGAAGCCTCCAGAAGCCTCTGGACTCCATGTACTCATGAGAGACTAAGAGTGAAAAAGGCAAATACTATCTAAGTATTATTATAAATATGGTTTTGACCTTGTGGTGGCCACACTTTGAGAACCACTGATGCATAGTACTATTCTGTAAATGAAATGAGTACAAAATACTTTGTAAACATGATGATAGATAAAAAGATGCGATTGCGTGGCTTCAATACACACGGAGGTATACGCTTAGGGTTAAGTATCAGTAGGCTCAGGAGATTCCCAGGATTCAAATCTTAGCTTGACCACTTACTAGCTGTATGACCAGGAGAAAGTTAATTAACCTCTCTGTGCCTCAGGATCTCATTTGTAAAATGGGGATGATAATATAATAAAAGCACTGACCTCCTTGGGTTATTCAATGTAAAGTGCTCAAGACTTGAATGCAAAGTGTCTGGCACATAGAAAACAGTACACTATGCAATTAATTTATGCAAACTATTATTATTAAGTAGCTTTAAAAAACATAAGGTAGGGATTTCCCTGGTGGTGCAGTGGTTAAGAATCTGCCTGCCAATGCAGGGGACACGGGTTTGAGCCCTGGTCCCGGAAGATTCCACACGCCACGGAGCAACTAAGCCCGTGTGCCACAACTACTGAAGCCCACGCCTGGAGCCCGTTCTCAGCAACAAGAGAAGCCACTTCAATGAGAAGCCACTGCAATGAGAAGCCCATGCACCGCAATGAAGAGTAGCCGCCTCTCGCCCTAACTAGAGAAAGCCCGCCTGCAGCAATGAAGACCCAACGCAACCATAAATAAATAAATTAAAAAAAAAAAACAAAAACATAAGGTAGAGTTATATAACTGATGCTAAATGATCTCCATAACACATGTGAAATTGGAGGGTACGGAACTATGTGCATACTATGATAAATGCTGTGTCAAATAAACATGTATGTGCTACAGATTCACTTGAGTGTGGATTTAAACACATACACATATGCTTAGATATGCATATAGAATTCTTGAAATTATAAATTAAAAGATAATACCTCAGGGCGAAGGGTATTTCTGGATGTCAGGAGGTCAGAAGTAGGACAGACTTTTCACAGCATTCCTTCAAAAAAAAAAAAAGATAAATCTTTAACTATGGAATCCCATTGTATTTTCAAAATGTAAAAAACAAAACAACCACTAAAAACACTAACTTAATTTTTTTTTTAAAGAACACAGACTTTAGGATTTTAAGTTGTTAAGTTCCAGGCAAAATCAGCAAATACCTCAGCACTTGCACCACAACTACTCATCCTGCACGCAAGACAGACAGCACCAAATGATCAGAATGGCAGACAGCACCAGTCGATGGGGACATCCCTTCCCACTGAGCAGATGTTCAAATCCTTCTTAACACTGTGCTCCAAGAAGCCACTAGGAATCAGTTAGTCTTGACAAAGAAGCTGAAACACGTTTGCCATCCCAGTTCTTGAGCATGACCTACAGAAACTCCTGAAATCATTGAAAATGACTCAGAGTATTTCCCTCAGGGAATCTCATCCTGCTGACTCTTAGTTCTCTTCTGCTAACCTATCCCCACCTCTCTTCCTGTTCCAGAGGGATTTGGAGTCCTGCTAGCCCATCCCCCTCCTTTTTTACAGAAAAAGAAACTGAAACTCCAGAGATTAAAAGACTTGCTCAAGGTCACAGAATGAGTTTGCATCAAATTCGAAGTCAGATATAGCAGCAGGAGAGAGGAGACTCTGGGATTAGAAAGGAATGGGTGTGAATTCTTTGCATCTTTCAAGCTGGGTGACCTTACCTCCCAGTCTCAGTTTCCTCATCTACAAAATGGGGCTCTTTGGAATGCCTAGCTCAGAGGATGTTTGGGAGAACCCAATGAGCTGATAAATGAAAAGGGCTCAGCAGTCTCTGACACCTCACAACAGCTTGATCAATGTGTCCGTGGCCATTACAGGATGCGGTAGTGGTTTCAGACGTTGTTCTGATTGCCCCCAAGAGACTTAAGTCTAGAAGAGGTGTAGAATCCAAGCTAGCACTGTGTTTCCTTTTTAATGTATTTCAAGAATAAGTTTATCTGGGACTTCCCTGCTGGTCCAGTGGTAAAGGATCTGCCTTCCAATGAAGGGGAGGCGGGTTCGATCCTTGGTCAGGGAACTAAAATCTCACATGCCACCAGGCAACTAAGCCCGCGCGCACCACAACTACTGAGCTCGGGCACCTCAACTAGAAAGCCCGCCTGCCGCAAACTACAGAGCCCATGTGCTTTGGAGCCCGCATGCCCGCAACTAGAGAAAACCCACCACCACAACTAGAGAGAAGCCCTCTCGCCGCAAGGAAGTATACCGCATGCCTCAAGGAAGATCCCGCCTACCGCAACTAAGACCTGACGCAATAAAAAATCAATAAAATAAATTTAAAAAAAAGTTTATCAAACATTCAGGCCGTTTTCAATCCCTCAGTGTGGTAGGTGAGATCACAGATCTTAGAGACCACTTTGAGCCTCCATCCCTCACCTGTAAAACGTGTATGTGCGCGCGCTCGCTCAATGTGTGTGATAATTCCTACCTACAGGGCTGCTGGGAACATCTCCTGAGATCATGGATGGGAGGAAAGTGTGTGGCTCATAGTAGGTGCAATAAATAGTAGCAGTTATCTCTTCACAGAGTGACCAGGCATTAGGAGAAGCCGCTGCTCCCTGGTACAAAAGGAAGGAAGCTCAAGGTCTGGAACCAGCTGAACCTAGTCCCAACTCACAGCTCTGCCGAGTTCCACCTGTGTGACCCTGGGTGAGTCATTTCACCTCTATGGACCTAGCTGCAAAATGAGTCCAATAAACTCAACATGCAGGCTTGGGGAGAAAATTAAATGAAGCAGGTACTTCCCTGGCGGTCTGGTGGTTAGGACTCCGCCCTTCCACTTCAGGGGACACAGGTTCGATCCCTGGTTGGGGAACTAAGATCCTGCATGCCTGCGCAGCGTAGCCAAGAAAAAACAAAAAATTTTTTTAATAAATAAATGAAGCAAGGAAGGTGAGTAATAGTAACTGTTCTCTAAGTGGTCATAGTGATACCAAGAGTTAATTTTTATTGATCCGGACCTGTGTCATTTGCTGTCTTACACGCTTTACATGGCCTGAATTATAAAGTGAGGCTGTTAATTACAATGATTAAGCTATTTAACAAACAACCATCTAACCTTATTTTGTAGCACTCTAGCCACAGCCTCTCCCCCACCCCGCCAGGGTGGAGACCTGGACCCGCCCTCGGTATCCAATGCCCTCCCCCTGGGCAGGCAGAGACGTGTTTGAAATAAAGTTTATTGAAGTTTCTGTCGGTATTTACATATGATACACGGTAAATAACAGAGCCAGGCCCCCCACCCCATCCCTTCCCCACCCCCAAAGTCCCCCTCCCCCCAGCCTCGTTAAAAATCGCTGCGTAAAGACAGGTTAACTGCTGCGGTCCCCCCTCCCCCCTCCCACCTAAGATGCAAACTAAAAGCCCCCGTCCCTCCCCTGCCCCCCTCCCCCCACCCAGGGGGCCTTTCTAGTTCCGAGTACAACACTGTGCTACCTCGCCCCTCCTCCCCTAATAAGGGGGTGGGTGAGTTTCTGGTGACCCCCCCATCTGTCCAAGGGGGCGGACGGACCCTTGAAAGAGGCCAGAGTTGGGGGTCTGAGATGGGAAGGGGGACTTCAATGAGGGGGAGGGCCAGAAAATGGAAGACTTGGAGGTTTGGGGGGCGTCGACCCCCGCTACTGCCTCTCCCTCCCCCGACGGGGCCTCGAGGGGGAAGAGGCGGGCACAGGCGTGGAAATGGCGTGGAGGAATTCCCTCCACCCTAGGGTCTCCATTCTTGTCGCGTGGTGTGTGGGGCTGGATGCACCGACGGGCTTTGGATGAGCGGGTGAAGAGGAGGCCGGGAGACAGAGGAAGGAAAAGAAGCCAAGGTCAGCTGAGAGAGCAAGAAAAGCCGTTAGAGAGAGCCCTCGAAAAGGCAGGTAACCTTCAAAAGGCCGAGGAGCGTCCAGCAGGTGAGAAAGAATGGGGTCTCCCGTGGGTGGGGAAGTGGGGGAGGGGACACCATACCTGCGGCCTCCAGCCCCACCCCGGCCGCACTACACCCGAGGACCACGGAAGTCCGGAGGTGAGACTGGGCCGGGAAAGAGAGAAGCCAGGGCAGAGAGCAGAAGAGGATGCTTGGCATTTCTGGCGGCAGCTGGAACCTACTCTCCTGCCCACAGCCCCTGCAGCGAGGCGGAAGGCTGAGGGATGGCTCGCGGAGGTGGGCGCGCTCGGCCGCTCTGCCCAAGGAGCAGAGGAACCTGGGAGGCGGTACTAGGCCGGGAGGGGAGTGGCCTAAGGAAAAGGGGCGGGTCATCTAGAAGGAGGTGTCATCTGGAAGTGGAAGGGACCAATGAAGTGGAGCGGTCAGGAAAGAGGGAGGGGTTATGGTGACGGGGCGGGGCCACTGGGAAGAGGGCGGGGCTAACGCGTGCGCAGCGTCCTACGGGTGGGACGAGGAGTCCCGAGGACTTGAGGGGCAGCTGCGTTGTGGGGAGACCCATGAGGAGTAGGAGGAAGAAGAGGAGGAGGAAGAGGAGGAAGGGGGGCCCTCCGGGGGCGGGGCCTCAGCAGGGCGAGGTGGAGATGTGCAGGTGGTCCGGGTACTTGATGGCTGGAGGGTAGTTCTGCGTCATCTGGATGGATACGTCGCTAGAGATGTCGGAGGGACTGCGGCCGCGGCGCCACGCCTCGGGCTGCAGAAACTGGCCCGAGTAGTCGGAGCAGTCGCTGAGACGCGGGCGGTAGAAGGCCGGGTGCGGACGGTACATCTCCTCCTCCGCGTAGCGCTTGGTGAACAGGTACACGGACATCACGCCAGCTCCCTGTGGCAAGGCAGCGTCAGAGTCGCAGAGGCTGGCCCCGGGCTCCCTCTGACCCCAAAACTCAAGACCCCCAGTCCCTCCTCTCCCAGGACCCAAGATTCCAGGCCTCCAGCTTCCTCCTTTCCCAGAACCCAGGAAGTAGAGCCCCAGTCACCTCCTCCCCAGGATCCCAGGAGTTGGAGCTCCCAGACCCTCCTCCTCCAGGACCCAGGGGTTAGGACCTCAGCCACCACCTCCTTTTAATTCAGAGTCTACACCCACAGCCTCCTCTTCCTCCTGGACCCAGGAATCATGCCCTCCCCCCCAACCCCCCCCCCATTCAAAACTCTAGAGTCTGGGCCCCACAGACATCACCTCTTTGAGTAGGAAGGAGGAAGCTGCGAAGGCAAAAGACCACCCGTAGCGATAGTGGAAATACTGCTCAGAGCTGCTGGGCCTGTTCATGACCTCGTCGTTGATGCTGGAAATGTAAAGAACCAAGCCCACCACCAAGGAGAGGCCTGTGGGGAGCAGAGGGGTGCCCTTGGCCCATTAGCAGTGGACCCCTTTCCCCAGCCCCAGGCCCCCTGCATCTCACCGCCATCCTCTCCCCTCTCCTCCCTGCTCTCCCCTGGACTAAATTCCATCCGTTGAAGTTCCTTGTGTGCTGGGCCTCGGCTGGGTGCAGGGAGCCCAGAGGTAAATCAACAGCCTCCTCCTCCCTCCCACCCCCACCCCTAATCTGCCATCCAGGAGCTCACAATGCAATTGGGGCAGGCAAACATGAACACTGATCAACAGTCACATCCATGGTGACATGTACTGTAAAGAAAACAGTAGCACAGAGCTCTGTGGGTCCAGAAGAGGCACCAAGCCCACCTGGGGCAAGGGTGGGGGGAGCCAAGGAAAGCTTCCTGGAAGCATGACTTTGTCGAAGTCCTAAAGGATGAGGCCCAGGGAAGAATTAGGGTTTACCATTACACCACTCCAGGCAGGGCAGAGGGGACAGCATGGGCAAAGAGTTGGAGGGGGAACAATGAACTGATCCCTCCACGTAGCTAAAACATGAAACACAGCCACAAGAAATGAGGCCAGAGAAGGGGACAGGGGCATTGCCATGACGAGGCTCGAATGCCAGGCTGAGGAGCTTGGCATCAATGCCAAGGGCACTAGGGAGCCATGGACGGTCTGAAGCAGAGGAAGGACAAGGCCAGATCGAAGTGTTAGAAGATCCTTGTGGGGCTGATTGGTTCTGGGAAGAGATTGGAAGGGAGAAACTGGATATTGTGATATTCCAAGGGAAGGAGGATGAAGCTGAGCTGAAGCTGTATAGATCATAATAGCAACAACAACAACATCAATAACAATAATAATAATAGCAACTGCTTATATAGGTCTTGCTCTAAGCTACGCACCATTCTCAGTGTTATATATGCATTAACTCATTCAAACCTCACAACACTTTCAAATTGGTACCATTTTTATCTCCATTTACAGCGGAGGAAATAGAGGCACATGGAGAAGGTGGAGAGGAGAGGTCTGATTTGAAAAATTTTAAGAGGCAACTATCACTTCTTCAAGCTGAACTTTCTTTTAAGCAGTAGCCATGCAGAGCGATAGCCATACGTAGGGTGGCTTAAAGAGGCTATAAAAATCCCTCCCCCCAAATTAATCCAAGTAATCCTCATCAGCATCTTCCCCTAGAATCCTACAAATAAACATTCGTGTGCCCCGTCGCACCCAGAATAAATCTAAATTCCTTCCACTGCCTACAAACGAGGTTAGCAAACACAATGACCGCCCAGGGCTAAATCCAGCCCACCTCCTGTTTTCGTGTGGCCTACTAGCTAAGAATGGCTTTTATATAATTAAATGGTTGAAAAAATCAAAAGAAGACTATGTTGTGGCACGTAAAAAGTATATGAATTTCATTTGGCAGTTCCTCAAAGTGTTAAAGATAGAATTACCATATGACCCAGCGATTCCACTCCTAGGTATTTACCCAAGAGAACTGGAAACATATGCTCACACAAAAACTTGCGCATGAATGTTTGCAGCGGCACTATTCATAATAGCCAAAAAGTGGAAACAACCCAAACGTCTATCAACCGAATGGACGAACAGAATGTGGTATAGCCATATAAAGGAATATTATTCAGCCAAAGAAAGGAATGAAGTACGCATTTATACTACCACACGGATGAACCTAGAAACTGTGCTAAGGGAGAGAAGCTAGATGCGTAAGAGCACATATTGTATGGTTCCATTTATATGAAATGTCCAAAACAGGCAAGTCCATAGAGATAGAAGGTGGATTAGTGGTTGCCAGGGGGTGGGGTGGAGGGGGGATCATGATTAGCAATTAAAGGGAGTGAGGTTTCTTTCTGGGGTGATGAAAATGTGGTAAAATTAGGTCATGCAGATGGTTGCACAACCTTGTGAATAGACTACAACTGCTGAATATATGAACTTTATGTTATGTGAATTATAATGTCTCCATTTAAAAAGCATATGAATTTATAATTTCAGGGTCCACATTTGTTGGGACACAGCCACGCCCATTTGTTTGCATTTAGCCTATGGCTGTACCGGCAAAACTGAGTAGCTGCGGCAGAGGCTGTATGGCCAGTAAAGCTGAAAATGTTTGTTATCCGGCATTTTACAGAAACATGTACCTGACCCCTGGGCTGCAATGCCTACAGGGTCACCTGCCAAACTCATCTCCAGCCATTTCTCCTTCCACCTGCTACTTAGGTCCCACTCTTGCTTGAACACAAGCTCATTTCTGCCTCAGGGCCTTTGCTCTCCCTGTTCCCTTGAACTGGAAGGCTCTTCCCCCAGATTTCCACATGTCTCTCTCTGTCACTTCATTTATTATTATTATTATTTTGGCCGCATGGCATGTGAGGTCTTAGTTCCCCGACTAGGGATAGAACTTGCTCCCCCTGCAGTGGAAGCACGGCATCCTAACCCCCAGTATCTGTCACTTCATTTAGATCTCTTATTCCTTGTCACCTCTTTAGAAAGGACTTCTATGCTCTCCTTGTTTTCAAAAATTGCCCCTTCACTCAGAATTAGAGAAATGCAGGTGAAAACGATGAGGACATACCATTTCTCATCCATCAGATCGTCAAAAAAAGCTTCACAACATACTCTTTGTGAGGCAGGGAAATGGAAGCTCTTATATATTGCTGGTGGGGATGCAAAATGAATGGTGCAACCTCTATGGAGGGGAGTTTGGCCATGTCTAACAATACCACACATATATTTATCCTTTAACCCAGCAATCCCGCTTCTAGAAATTGACCCTGAAGATACCTGTCCAACAATATGAAAGCACATATGTACAAGTTAATTCACTGCAGCATTATTCATAATTGCAAAACATTAAAAATGACCTAGATGCCCTTACATAGAAGATTAATGGAATAAACTATAAAACGTCACATAACAGAGTACTGTGCCACTATGAAAGGGCGATGAGGAAGATCTCTAGGAACAGATATGCAGTTCAGTGATAGTTCCAGACCATATCACTAATTATTTAAAAAGGCTATACAGAATGCTAGCTTTTAAGCCCAAAAAAGGTACATAAAATACATATATGCGTCTGCTTATTTTTACAAAAAGAGACATAGGAGGGGAAACAAACATGAAGTTGATTACTTTAGGTAGGTGAGAATAGGAAGGAAGAGATGGGAAGGAAGTGGCACTCCTCTGAGTATATATTTTTGCATAATTTTGACCTTTGGAACTATGCTAATATTTTATATATTCAAAAGATAAAATCAACAAGGATCTGGGGCTTCCCTGGTGGTGCAGTGGTTGAGAATCTGCCTGCCAATGCAGGGGACACGGGTTCGAGCCCTGGTCCGGGAAGATCCCACATGCCACAGAGCAACTAAGCCCGTGCGCCACAAACACTGAGCCCGCGCTCCACAACAGGAGAAGCCACCACAATGAGAAGGCTGTGCATCGCAACAAAGAGTAGCCCCCACTTGCTGCAACTAGAGAAAAGCCTACGCGCAGCAACGAAGACCCAACGCAGCCAAGAATAAAATAAATAAATGTATTAAAAAAAAAAAACAAGGATGGGGAAAACAACAAATTGAATACAAACAAAAATAAATGAAGCTAATTTATATCAGATGAATAATACAACCACAGGAGTGGGGAAAGTAGTAATCCAAGTAACTTTTGGACAAAGTACTTTGAATATATATCTCAGTTTAAAGACAGAAAGGTCTGTGAAGAAATCTTGAACTGTATTTAATAAATTTTTATTGGGAGTGGTGTAGGGGTAGCAGTACTTAAGTTATTCTGTGTGAATAGTAGGGTTGAGCAAATGTGCAAATATACTGATGTTTTGGGGAGGTGGAGATCTCATTCCGAAAGAAGGAAGATACAAATCAGAATGGAGTAAAGTCAAGAAAGACCCTCGTGGTGTCAGTATAAACTCCTGTTTTACAAATATATGTAATTTCCCAGCTCGTATCCTGAAACATCCTAGGAGCAGTGACACCCCAGCAGCAATGAGCACACCTAGCACCCAGATTTTGGTCTCTACTATCACCCCCACTACATCAGGAGCTAGGAAGAAACAGCTCATTTGAAGCCTGAGGCAGGGGCAATAAAGGTGTACTGGTACCACAAAATAAGGAAGTACTCAAAAAAAAAATGTTGGAGACATGTCAAAAGAGGACACAGGAACTCATCTGAAGGAGGTCCCTGATAGCCCAACTGGGGACAATCTGAACATCAAAATGAATACTAAAAGTAATGACATACAATACACTGAATTTTTAAAAAATGTGAATCCATACTGATATATTCTTTAAGGAAATAAATAATAAAAGAAAAGAGAAAATTTGGGAATTCCTTGGCAGTCCAGTGGTTAAGACTCCACACTTTCACTGCTGAGGGGCCAGGTTCAATCCCTGGTCTGGGAGCTAGAATCCCACAAGCCACGTGCCCAAAAAAAAAAAAACAAATTCTTCTTTTCGGTGACATCCATGTAGATAGAACAACAGAGTTAAGAAAACACCATTTTGCAACCCTTGTAGTAATATTAGGATTTAGGCAAGCATCGTCGACAGTGGACATTAAATCACTGTATGACAGAATCTCCCCATGGAATATCTATTAATTACAAAGAGATTTTTGAAAACTTCCTTTATCATAAAGGAACCTGACAGATACCATCTGAACCAGGAAACCAAAGCTAACATCACCAATAATGGGGCAAACGGACACCCCGACCTCCTGATGTGATCGTGACACTACTTCGTTTATGTAGTGTCCCTACTGGTAATTTGTAACATGGATCCACTCCTGTGGAAACTGTGGGGTGTTCTACAAAACACTGGCTGCATTCTTCAAAAAAACATCAACATGAAAGATTTTTTTTTTAAGGTACAGGAACTATATAAAAGATGAAAGGAGGCGAAAGAGACACAGCAAGGAAAAACAGAACTGGATCCTGAATCAGGGGAAAAACTGACTATAAAAGGCAGTGTGGAGA